GGCAATAATCATATTCACTTCATAGCGGGCTGTATATTAACAACTGCCCACGCACGTTGCCTTACCAAATCATGCACGAATAGACTTGGCGCATACGGGGGCTCATCGGGCAATTCGTACCAAAAACAAGTCATTCTTCAGTACCTCGCTCATGACCATAGGTAGAAATGAGAAGAGCAATCCAAAGTGGTACGCGGAAATTGCATTCTTCTCGTACGGATCTTCATGCTTTCTATCCGCCATTGGTTAGCTTATCCGAATCCTCACGTCCCATCTAAGCTACTAGTGAATCCTATCGTGATTGCTTTCCTGAAGTCTCAACTCGGCTTTCCGGAAGCACACTATTCAGCCCACTCAGCTTACATGTTAAGCTACCATTATGCTCTGTCAGCCCAAACATTGTGTCACGCCATTCACGCCGAATAGTCGAAACGCTCGGCAGTGAAGCTCGCAAGGCTAGAACTTCAGATCAAATGAATTTGACTTGCTTAATGGTGGTACGTTTTGATTTTTGCTTCAACTGACCTTTGACTGTTGTGGGTGATACAGGTGCGAAAACTTCGCGTGCGACTACGAAAATTAAACGTTTAGTTTTTTGTTCCTAGATAAAGCCAGCAACGATTGGTTGGTGACTCGCTTCTAAACAGCTCGAAGCTTTTGACCTTTGACTTCGCATTGGATTTCCATGACTTTTATCGAGGTAAAAATCAATGCGGGTTCCTCAAAGCCCGCTATTACTGGGCCAAAACACCAATCCCATTCAATTCATCTCTTACAAGCGAACGGAATTCCTGCAGGTAGTTTCCAGATCAGTATGTTCCCCAGAACCCAAAACAAGAAATTGGAAGTGATCTAGGCAATTTAAGCTGGCCTCAACGAGGGAGAATTGTGATCACAAACCAAGAGGACTCTCTACCAGGCTCGCCCTCAACCCATCGACTCAAATTCAAAACTAGACTCAGATCTCTAATCAAACGACACGCAAATGGGGTGAGCAGGGCAATGCCAGCATACCTCGGCGAGCCATCGATCAAAAATCTTGGTCTCAGTTACAAAGAGGCCAACCGAAGCTTTTCAAAGTCCTGGCCTGGTTATTAAAATGGTAAGTAGACGTGTCGGGACGGATAA